TCTGTAGTTGGTCACAGCGCCACCTAGATAACGTTATCCTTCGATAACTTTAAAAAACATGGTCAGAATAGCATTAAAGTTGGTCACTGTCATCACACCACCAGTGTGGTAAAGATAGAGGATTCCCTAGTGGTGAGACATAAAATATAATGGTGGGCTCAAAGGGGATGCTGAGTCAGGGTGAGTTGCGGACAAGGTGGCCGTTAGCAGTTTCTGGTGTTGGGGTGGTCGACGTTTGTGTTCTGCGGACGTGCCCTGGTGCCCCGGGCTGCCGGCCAGGCCGGAGCGGCGCGGAGCTGCGAGGGCCGAACGACGCTGCTTGCAGCTTTAATTATTTTTTATTATTCTTAGCCCGCTTTGAACGGCTTTTTGGGGACCTTAACATACCCCAAAACTCACAATATTTTGCAAACTTGTCAGGCCTGGTGAAAAATTTGATATTTTAAAGGTCCCAAAAAAATCACAAAGAAAATGGCTGAACAGCGCCCCCTAGAAAGTGAAAAAAACCCCTCTCCATAAAGCTTAGTTTATCGTACAGTTATGAAATTTGGTACACTTGTAGTACTCAACAGTCCGCACAGAAAAGTCTCTTGCAACCATGGTCAATATCAAACAGGAAGTCGGCCATTTTGGGTTGAAATGGCGATTTTTTGCAGTTTTTGCCGTTTTTAGGGTCCGTTCCTGATTGGATTGCTCGATCATTTTTCGCACGATCGTCTCAAAAATTGTGTAAAATTGCTAAGAAGGGATGGGCGAACAAAATGAGATGAGAATTCTGAGTTTTCGTATATGTTGAAGGGGCGGGGCCAGGCCTCGAAGTTTGACTACTCGCCAAAAATATTTAAATTGCTATAACTTCATAACTGAATGGAATAGAGTTACCAAACTTTCTGTGGTCATTCGTCATCCACCCACAAAGTAAATTGAATGGTCGGCTGATGACATCACACAAGCCCCGCCCCCTCAGGACCAAAAAGATCAAGTTTTACTGTGAAAGGTCCCAAATTGCCCCATTTCACTTAATCACCACAAATTTGTAGCTGGTAACTCAAGACAAGTGGGGGTTGCTTGGCGTCACTTTATGGGAGTTTTCGGCAGAGGGCGGGGCTGTGGCGGCGCGGCGAATTGAGGCGTACCGCCGTGGCCTTACGTTTGCCTCCCATTTCGTCATTTCCAAAGATATCGTCACGAAACTTCTTGTGAGTGATCCTAGTCCGGCCCCCCAAAAGATCTGATGTGAACATCTGGTGGGCGTGGCCTATTTTCTGAAATAGCGCCCCCTAGGACCATTAAAACTGTCAGCCCCAAGCCATGCTTTGACTGAGGATTACGAAATTTGGTACACTAATGTGGTGTCTCAGGACCTACAAAAAAGTCTCTTGGAGCCAAGTGCAAAGTCGCACAGGAAGTCGGCCATTTTGGTCCAAGTGCGCGATTTAGTGGTTTTCACACACTTTGTTTGGAGAGTGATACTCCGTCGCCCTTTTCACCAATCACTTTCAAACTTCTGCTATATAGTCTTAAGACATAGAGGAAAAAATTCAACCGTCGGATTTTAAATAAGTATAAAGGTGTGGGCGTGGCTAAGCCTCAAACTTTGACCTTTCGCCATGCCACTCTTTTTTTCACAGCTCCCTATTTGACTCCTTTTACCCAATCACCAGGAATCTCTGGTAAATAGCAGCAGACAAGTTGAGGTCACTTGGTCTCCAGTACTGGAAGGTTTTGAAAAAAGGCGGGGCTTTGGGAGCATGGCGAAATTCGCCATCACGCCATGGAAATACGTTTGCCTCTCATTTCTTCATTTATCGTGATATCACCTCAAAATTTGTTGTGAGTGATCCTAGTCTGACCCCCAATAGAAATGGTCAGTTTAAGTTTGTGGGCGTGGCCTATTTTCTGAATTAGCGCCCCCTAGGACCATTAAAACTGTCAGCCCCAAGCCATGCTTTGACTGAGGATTACGAAATTTGGTCCACTAATGTGGTGTCTCAGGACCTACAAAAAAGTCTCTTGGAGCCAAGTGCAAAGTCGCACAGGAAGTCGGCCATTTTGGTCCAAGTACTCGATTTAGTGGTTTTCGCACACGTTGTTTGGAGAGTGATGCTCCATCGCCCTTTTCACCAATCGCCTTCAAACTTCTGCTATATCCTCTTAAGACATAGAGGAAAAAATTCAACCGTCGGATTTTAAATAAGTATAAAGGTGTGGGCGTGGCTAAGCTTCAAACTTTGACCTTTCGCCATTACATTACTTGACTTAATAACTCCCATGTGCACGATCAGATCTATATCAAACTTTGTCTGTGTGATCACTGACCACATCTCAAGGCAACGTCATTGTGGACAGCTGACAACACCTAAGCCCCGCCCCCTGACAACAGGAAGTCTATTGTTTAATGGTGAAATGCCCATATTTGTCCCCTCTAATCTAGTCAACATGACACTAAGGTCATGCACTGTCTTCATGATGTTGTAATGACCATTCTGATCTGATAACTTTACAGAAAGGGAGGGGCTTTGATGCCATAGCGAATTCTGGCATGACGCCGTGACCTTACGTTTGATCGTAATTTCCACAAACAGCCTCCCATCTGCACGAGACTGAACATGACAATCAACAATGATGCCCTTTATCGAATGAGACACAAACAGTTGGTCAGATTTGTATGTTGTCACCACAGCGCCCCCTACACACCATTAAAACTGTAATAACTCCTACAGACCAGGTCGTTACTGCACCAAACTTGCTATGTGTCATCACACAAAGGCACCCAACACAATCCTGTGGTAATTGGTTGATATCCCTTTAGCTCCGCCCCCTGATAGATATTAGGCCCTGAATAACACATGCATGATGCAATTCACACCAAACTGCACACAAATGACTGTTATCAACCTATGAACTTCTTCATTGATTAATTCCTAAATTTGAGACAGCGCCCCCTAGATACATAAAACCTTTGTAACTTCTGCAAAAACGCTCCAAACTATATCAAACTTTGTGGGAGTCATCACACAACTGCAATAAACACATGTATGTGCTCACTTGTTCAATTCACTTTAACTCCACCCACTTACAGCTTTTTGTCTCTAGATGACCCATGCAACGTTTGATTGATGCCAAATTAACAGAAAACCATCTTTGATGACCAAAGATGACCTCTATGGCATTTTGTTGTAAATGGTCACAGCGCCTCCTAGATGGGTTCAAACTTTATTAACTTCTAAAGACAAGGTCAGAATGGCATTATACTTGGCTTGTGACATCACGTGACTGCACCAAACACATTGATTGAGTTGTTGGTTCAAATCCCTGTAGCTCCGCCCCTTTCACTCACTGGCTTTAGATAACGCACACAACGTCCGATTGATGCCAAAATAACAGAAAACCATCTTTGTCAACCAACGCTGACCTCAATGGGACTTTTCTGTAGTTGGTCACAGCGCCCCCTAGATATCTTTAACCTTCGATGACTTAAAAAAACATGGTCAGAATAGCATTAAAGTTGGTCACTGTCATCACACCATCAGTGTGGTAAAGATAGAGTATGCCCTAGTGGTGAGACGTGTAATTCAATGGTAAGCTCAGAGGGGATGCTGAGTCATGGTGAGGTGCGGACAAGGTGACCGTTAGCGGTTTCTGGTGTCGGGGTGGTGGACTTTCTGTTCCGGGGACGTGCCCTGGTGCCCCGGGCTGCCGGCCAGGCCGGAGCGGCGCGGAGCTGCGAGGGCCGAACGACGCTGCTTGCAGCTTTAATTTTATTTATTTTTTTCATTTATGAGTATTTCTACTTTTACACATAATCGGCTCTAATGAACAGATCTGACCTCTGGATGTACCGCAGTGCTACATTTTGCTGCTGCTGGTGATATTTATGCTTGTAAATATTCATATAATCCCATGCTAATCAACACTTGGCTGACTGCCTCTGGAGGAGTTTTTTTTTTTTATCCCTCAGGACTGATGAGCTAACAGCTAGGTGTAACTACCGCATTACTAAGTTCAAAAGTGCAAATATTAATAGCAGCAGTTTTGCACTTCTGGTGCAGCCAGGGCTGAAAGTTAGCGGCAACGTCTTGTATCAAAACTGACAACAGTGTTGTGATTAAAAATAAAATACTAATAATAAATAATAACACAAACTGCTGTTAAATCTGTAGCTGTTTAACACCTGGATCACATCAGATGCGAAGCGAGACGAAGGCTCGCGCCGTGCAGCGATCGTTTGGGCAAGTTCTCTATTTTTTCACAAACTGCATCAATTCTGGCTGGAAGTCAAACCAAAACAGAAGAGGCTGGCCGGTAAATGTAACTAAATAAAGACATTTTTCAATAAATGATTATTTCTGTGTATCTAAACAGACTAGAGAGGTGAAAATGAACAAAGACACACACACACACACTCCTGTGGAGAAAGTGTTTCCATCCTTTTTAATGCAGTTTTTACAGCAAAAGATGGAGTTAATACATGCGAGTACAAACAAGTATGTTTACTTCAAAGGTAACTAAAGTACCACAAATACTAGTTATTCACTTACCCATTTAGAAAGGTATTGGTCTACAAAACAGGATCAGCGCAGTTTCTGATAAACATGCAGGGCTAACTGGTTACACACACACACACAGCAAGGGCATGGGGGGGGGGGGGGGATAGATGTGAGCAGAAGTGCTTGTTGAAAAATCTCGCCTGACGTGAACAGAAGAGCAGCACAAATTTTGTGAGCGATCCACTTTGCGGCTGCAGCAATCCACTTTAATTTTGACGTGTTCTGACCAGCCCGTTGTTCACCAGTTGGATCTAAAAGTGTGTGTCTCCAAAGAGCAGCTGTTCATGAAGCCTTCTGCAGTGAGTGAGAGAGAAAATACTTAGGAAAACGACCCAAACCCCTTCATTATTCCCATTATCCCTGTAGGTCAGTCACAGCTTTATGAGGTGCTTAATGAAGGAAATTCATTTTAATTTCCAGGTATTTAGTATCTTATTTCCTCCCCCTCAGGTGTCTCCTGTGAATGGGGGAGGTTGGTCTGAGGAGGCAGTGAGCTGGTTCAAAGCGATGGTACACAACAGAAGACTTTACGCCAGACTTAACCCACAAGGACCCACCGTCACAGTCGAGCTGTTCCTGGAGAAGGGGAAGTTAGGAGCCATGAGGTCAGTCCATTAAGCGATGTCAGCAGGCTTCCTGTAGTTACTGATGGTTCTATGTCACCGATGTGTTTAAACACAGTAGATGTGACTGGACACCACAGTGAGTTTAAAGGTCAGTAACCACTCAGGTCCTGTTCCCAGGAGGGGAGCATCACTCTCTTTGAGATTGGCTCAAAATGGACATGCAAAGCACAACCAACTGAAGAAGGCTGGCCTCGTAAAAACACGTAAGTTGTCTGATTTGTGGATTACATAACTAGCCGCTATCCATTATTTTTCACTTTAGTTTCCTTTAATAATTTTAGGTGCTGTTCAAGACTCTGACTGGAAAAAATATCTCCTCATGTGCGACAGCCGATATAAGAAGTAACGCTTTTTGGTTTGTGCGCTGCTTCGGTCGAGGTCAAAGCCCTGGAGGAGAAAGCCGTCTTATGACAGTTTCCTGTTGTTAACCACTTGTTTACAGGTTTACTAAAGAGAAGTTACCTGTTGTTTTGGCTGTAAAAGTCTTCAGATTCACTTTGGTTTGGTTAGTTTGATGAAGGTGAATGGAGACCTACCCCCACCGTGTGTGTGTGTGTGTGTGTGTGTGTGTGTGTGTGTGTGTCTGTGTGTGTGTGTGTGTGTGTGTGTGTGTGTGTGTGTGTGTGTGTGTGTGTCTGTGTGTGTGTGTGTGTGTGTGGGTCAGGTACAGAGATCTGACTTTGCTCTAACTGATTCACTAGTTGCATAGGTCTGAGTTATGTGTGTTTGTGTTTAAAGGTTAATAACTAACCAGACCATTAGGTACTTTGTTTTAGGGTTTTTGGTTTGAGAGGTTTGGTTTTTTTTGTCAACAAAGTACATTTTATTTTTGTTGTAATTCTACTTGGAGTAAAACTGTAAGAAGCACGTTCTAATAAAGTCCCCTTAATTTTATTATTTCTAATTGTAAATCAGTGCAATTCTGTAAGATATTTTTAGTTGGTGCATGTTTGGTATATAAGTTGTGAATCACATGCTTTGCTGCAAATCAAAAACCTTTCTCCTTGTTTCACATCGAGTCATTGAGCCAAGGAAGAATTACTCTCTTGTATTATTGTCCCCCTTTCAAAATAAAGGCGTTTTCTTCACAGTTCATGCTATGTTCTCATTGTTGCTCCTGTGTCTTTGTGGAAAGTGTAAATTAGTTTGAGTTCATTCAAAGAATTGGCCGGCCATGCGAGCCCTTCCACCAGGCTTGTGACGCTGAAACGCTCGCTGCACAGAGTAGATGTAGGTTATCTGAACGTATGTGACAAGAGGACACATTGTTTCCTGCTGAAATCCGTTACTGTACAATGTTTGCTCTTTAACATTGGCGCTTCATCAGAACCATGTGAGAACAATCAGTGTTTTTTAAAGCAACCCTGTAATTGCACATTTAGACAGCAGGTGTGACCTTTAACCCAGTATCTGTGCATGCAGGATTTAGCTTGCTAATGGAATTTCTTTAAAAATACTTAAACATAGTTGTGTAATTGATAAGGTCATGGTTTCTTCCATGGTCATTGTGTTTGCTGAACAATTTAGTAGCAAAGCAGTTTATTTTTCTAATACCGCTCCAAATATTTGCACTCCTGTTGCATAAATTAGCATAGCATTCAAAGGCACTGTAATGTGGTGAGGAGGGGAGAAACCTAACTGACTGACTAGGAGATGTAGTCCTTTGTTGATTTCAGCTGGGGATTATCAGTCGTGTGTTTAGTGGATGCGTTTTCCAGTTCGACTCCACCAGCGAAGCTTGCGTCAAACCTTCCTTCACGTCACTGTCCTACCAAGCACAATAAATAATGTGGCAGGCTGCGGCCTTTTGTGTCCACACAGATTCCTTCTTTAGCCCGGGGTAGGCGGAAATCGAGGCGTTTGATCTGAAAGGGTCTTGTTGCAGCTCCATAAAGGGCACCATTGTATGTAAATAGTTTATATAAGAGCATATGACTGCTACGGTGCAGGGCAGCGGCTAGTGGCGGAGGAATGATTTGCATTTTCCAAACGCACACTGTTTTCAATCCAGCCTTTTGGTGTGCTAAAAAACCCAACACTTCATTCAGTTTCTTCCTATTTTGTACACATTTTTGTGTACCGACCCAGCTGAAGGTAAAATTTCTGTTCTGTCTTGATATTGTTTGTCTGGATTTGATGCAGCCAAGTCACGCCTACTGAGCAAACATTTTATTGTAGTCCTGTTTTATTCACTATTGTTTTGAGACTAATATTTTATGTGGACATGTTTATCTTTCTGTTTGTAAAATCTATATATTCTCCATATTTCTTTAAAAAGTCCAGATGAGTCTTGCTGTTTTCTCGGAGTGATTCTTGGCAGCAGTCTGTCCGTCTGACTGAGCCGGTTTGGGAGTACAGTATTAATACGTGAGCCCATCACGTGGCTCTGCATTTGTTTCCCAATTGGCTTCCATTTCTTGCGTCTTGTGACGGAGGTAGGCCATCGCCCCTGCTTTTATACAGCCTGCGGGCTACTTGGCATTTCTTGTAAGTTGCTCCTTATGAGTCTAGCTTGATGCTCAAGTCGAGCCTCAAGATGGTCATCTTTGGACCCGGCGCCATGTACGCCGCTTTCACCGTCGGCTGAGCCTGGTAAACTTTTGAATGTTAAATGTTGTGAAGTTAATGTAATTAGTTTTTATTGCTGGTTTTCTGAAGTAACTTTTAAGTTGAACCTGTGATGTGACTGACCTTTCTTTTACAGACCTGGAGGCGAAGATGAACTGGGGGTCCTTCTATGCCGTGATCAGCGGTGTAAACAGGCACTCCACTGGCATTGGACGCGTTTGGCTTTCGGTCATCTTCATCTTCCGCATCCTGGTGCTGGTGGTTGCTGCCGAGAGCGTTTGGGGAGATGAAAAGTCTGGCTTCACCTGCAACACCCAGCAGCCCGGCTGCAACAGTGTCTGCTACGACCAGTTCTTCCCCATCTCTCACATCCGGCTGTGGGCTCTCCAGGTCATTTTGGTGTCTACCCCCGCCCTACTGGTGGCCATGCACGTGGCCCACCGGCGGCACATCGACAAAAAGATCATGAAGAGGTCAGGCCGCAGCAGCCCTAAAGAGCTGGAGCACATCAAGAACCAGAAATTTCAGATCACAGGAGCTCTGTGGTGGACGTACATGATCAGCATCATCTTCAGAATCATCTTTGAGGTGGTTTTCCTCTATCTCTTCTACCTGATCTATCCTGACTTTAAAATGGTGAGGTTGGTTAAATGTGACTCTTACCCTTGCCCCAACACGGTGGACTGTTTTGTCTCCAGACCGACAGAGAAAACCATATTTACTGTCTTCATGCTGGCTGCATCAGGGGTGTGTGTTCTGCTCAATGTTGCTGAAGTGGTGTATCTCATCGGTAGGGCCTGCAAACGGTGCGTGGGTCGCTCCAAGGACGAGTCCAAAGCAGCCTGGATAAGTCAGCGGTTGTCCTCTTACAGACAAAATGAAATCAATCAGCTGATAGCAGAGCATCCTCTCAAGTCCAAGTTCACTGTGATCAAAAAAAGCCCCTCTGAGAAGGTCGAGGGTTGTTCTGCGTCCTGAGACTCCTTCAAGCTAACAAGTAATCAATAATTTTAATATTTAACTATTGAAACATCTGTATATCTGCATTTTCGCCCATTAGTTATGAAATTATTTGTGAAGGTAAAGGCTTGTCTTGTTTTTGTTGCTCCTCTCAACTATTAAATCGCCCTGGAAGTTGTTTTCCCACATTTTATCTGATTTCCTGCTAATTGAACACACCTGGTGGAGCTGTATGACCAAACTTTGTCTCATCTCCTTAAGTCTAAACTGGGTGAAACTAACCACTACTTGGTGGGTCCATCCATTTTCTGAACCCGCTTGTCCACGTAGGGTCACGGGGGGGCTGGTGCCTATCTCCAGCGGTCAATGGGCAGTCAGGCGGGGTACACCCTGGACAGAGAGCCAGTCCATCGCAGGGCAACACAGAGACACACAGGACAAACAATCACACACACACACCTAAGGACAATTTAGACAGACCAATAAACCTAACAGTCATGTTTTTGGACTGTGGGAGAGAACCCACGCATGCACATGGAGAACATGCAAACTCCATGCAGAAAGATCCCAGGCCGGGAAGTGAACCCAGGACCTTCTTGCTGCAAGGACACAGCTCTAACCACTGCACAGCCTGCTTGGTGGATCATGCACGCATTTGTTCAGTGTTTCACATTTGTTTGTATTTGTTGTATGAAAACACTTTAAAATTATGCTTTGTGTTTGTAATTTCGCCGGTGCTAGAGGTTTGGTTTGTGTGGAAAATGAGGTCTGGAAAGGTGGAAATGGATTCAGAATCTAAACATGAACAGAGGGCAAACAGATTCAGGAAGTCTGAAATGTTTACATCCTGTTTATTGTAAACATACAGCCACATGGCAACAGGATTTGCGTGTGCAGATTCCCAAGCCAATCTTAAAATGTATTAAAAACGTGTTTATCTAAAATATCTCTTATGGCCTGGCTCAGATCTGGTGCCAACAACAGTTTGGCCATTAAAATGATTTTGTTCTGTATTAAACTGAACTTTGTGCAGACCAGTAACTGTTGTGGCTTCAGCATGTGGATGTTTTTAATTAGGCGATTATTCCATCCCAGACATGATGCTCCTGGCATTAGAAAACCGTAAAAGCTCCATGCAAACATAAATGTATCACATGAAATGTATGAACTGGTCCTGATTTTTATGAGCATGAGCGACTCCATTTGTCTGTCTTGTTAAAAGCACCTGAGTTTTTTAGGCCGATCTACCTTCAAACCAAATCCATTTGCAGCTTTAATCCTGTAAAAGTAGTTTGCTGAGCTCCTTTGTGTGTGCACCACCATCATTCAGCATCTTTCTGCTCTTTGGTTTTATTAAACAGTCGTGTACATATTGCGCTTGTATAAGCACTAATGCATCAGGTTACAGCACCTGTACAGTGTGTACATTATGTAATGTAATGAAATAAACTGCACTATAAATAGATTGTATTTATAAAATGTATTTTAGTTTATGTATTTTCATAAATGTAACATCTGTTCAGCAACTAGAATTAAAATGGAAACTGTTTTGATTTCTTGTCTGACTGACTGCTCATCACCGCCCACCCTCTGTGATAGGAGATAGACCCCTGTGCTATAGTTAGACGTGGGGGGGGGGGGGGGGGGTCTTGTGCTCAAAGCAGACGGAATGGGCGATATGATTGGCCGTCCTTCGTGTCACTCAGCATGACAGCTGATTAGTCCTCAGAAGTTTACATTAGAGTCCACTGTGCCAAATTTAACTGGGGGGGGGGGGCAGGCTGGACATGGTTGAGAGTGTTTCCTGTGTGTGTGTCTGTCTGTCTGGTGGTCAACGGAGTACCTTGAGGCGGGGGTCTGGATCCAGATTTCCGCCTGACTTGAATATTGGAGACGAAGGACCGAGTCACAGAGTCTGTTGGTGTGCAGCTGAGGTCGCAGCCCACAGGAGTCCACCTTTCTTATCCATTCAAGGACATTTCTTTGTGCCCTGAGATCGGCACGGCTTAGAGGCCTTTCTGTGGACAACACAGCCGCTTCATGGACCCACGGCATGAAGAGCTTCAACACAGGAGATGTATAAGTTGACATTTCTTAAGAAAATGTGAGTTGTTGTGTAGGCTTCCTCTTAGAAGCTGAATTAACTGCACCAATAGGCCATAGTTAGTCAAATGTTGTGACCAAAAACCAACTAAAACGGTTGTCCTGATACAATTTAAATATTCCGGTTTTTGTTAAATCCTGCATACTTCTCATGCATGATTGATCACCTTCTGTTTTTTACTGCTGACATTGATAGACTTGATAAATGTGGCTCCAAGCAGCGTACCTGTGCTGTCCTGCTACTGTAGATCAAATCCATCAGACGAACATATTTATAAGAAGACGATAGCAGCATTGCTTGACTGTTTCTCATTCATGCCTTCACATCTCCGGGTGTTTGGTTTCACCTCCCGAGAATCCTGTTGGCAGGGTTTAGGTTGTGATGGCCGGATGTCCAGAACCAAGGCTAAAACCTGCCTTTGCCCTGTCCACACTTGCCAAATATATTCCTTCCTAAAGTAAATATAATCATGTCTTCATCCACTGGAATAAGACCTCAGCTGCTGAGGCTTCTCCACACAGTTGGGTTCCCAGTTGGCTCCCTAGAGGCTTGTTTTCTTTGAGCTTGTTTGAACTTTGTAGGCTGTTTGAAGAACCAGGGGCACTTTGGCTGTTTGTTAGCAACACCTAATCAATAAGTTACAAACCGAAGCAGATGACTGCATTTTATAACATTTTTTTATGTTTCATTATTTCCAGATCCAACCTCACACAGCCATGGGAGACTGGAACCTTCTGGGAAAGCTGCTGGAAAAAGCCCAGGAGCACTCCACCGTGGTGGGGAAGGTGTGGCTCACCGTTCTCTTCATCTTTCGCATCCTGATCCTAAGCGCTGCCACAGAGAAGGTGTGGGGCGACGAGCAGTCGGGCTTTACCTGCGATACCAAGCAGCCTGGTTGTGAGAACGTGTGCTACGACATAACCTTCCCCATCTCCCATGTACGCTTCTGGGTGCTGCAGATCATCTTTGTGTCTACACCCACCTTAATTTACCTGGGCCACATTCTCCACCTAGTGCGGATGGAGGAGAAGCAACAGGAGAAGGACAAAGAGAGGGAACTTCATCCAGACAAGCAGACCTTGAATGTGAATGCTCCCCACAAAAAGGCTCTCATTAGAGACGATAAAGGACGGGTACGTCTGCAGGGAGAGCTGCTGCGCACATATGTCTTCAATGTGATATTTAAGACGCTGTTTGAGGTGGGCTTCATTGTAGCCCAGTACCTCCTGTATGGTTTTGAGCTAAAACCCATGTATACATGTGACAGACAACCATGTCCCAACATGGTGAACTGCTACATCTCCCGCCCCACTGAAAAAACCATCTTCATCATCTTCATGCTTGGGGTGGCCAGCGTGTCGCTGTTTCTCAACCTCATAGAGATCTACCACCTGGGCTTCACCAAGTGCCGCCAGGGCATGACATTCAGGAGGCGTCAACAGGCCCTAGAGGGCATTTCCAAAGAGCCCAGCGAAATGGCGGTGCCCTTAGTGCCAAGCTTTGGTGACTACTACCCAAAGAGCCGCCAAGTCCAGCCTGTTATAGCTGGGTACCCTCCTGTACCCAGCTACAACCTCTCAGCTCTGTCTGAGGGCACAGACTCCACCTTCCATCCCTACCACAGCAAGGCCGCTTACAAACAGAATAAAGACAACCTGGCTGTTGAAAGGAGCAGCAACAAGCCAGAGGAATGCGACCTGAAAGGGAAGAAAGGAGCAGGATCAGCCCCTGGGTCTCCCACACATACCAGGCTCGTCCACGGTGCCAAGCACAGCAGCAGCAAGACTAGAATAGACGATCTGAAGATATAAGGTGGTTTGTGGTTCTTGGAAGGTTCTTAAATTGCCGTGAAGGAATTGAGTGTCATCTGGAAGCTGACATACACACCAAAGCTCTTGTGAAGGCGGCTCAGGTTTGACTCATTCCAACTTGGGAGAGGAGATGCATGTCAGGAAAGTCTCCTGTGACATAAACACGTTTCTGATTCACTTTTATACCCGGCTGTTCTGTTCTCCACCTGAAGATTTTCTATCTGGGATCCTTTTTTAGTTTTCACTTTGCACCCCAAAGACCACAGGACATTGTTACTAAACATTTGTTGGTTCTTCTGATACACGTACAGAGTTTGACACAGGCCTGGGGTCTCATTTATCAAACATTGCGTAGAATCCTTACTAAAACCGTACTTAAGGTCAGCAAAAAAAATGTACTCACGCCAAGTAGGTTTGTGATCTATCAAACATGGAGTACGCACAGCTGCACACAATCTCCGCTTCATAAATCGGAGACTAACGAGAATGTTTCTCAGCTGCATTTTAGTCACATCCCGCCCTCACCACGCCCACTTACTGCCATAAATAGTCAATGCAAAGTGCCTTGTGGATCTCATGCATATACATAAGCCGGCTGTTGTAGCGCTCCGCCAATGACATGGCGACCGTAGATCAAGGCAGATCAAGGAAGCGCTATTTCACAGAAGCAGAAGTTGAGGTACCTGTGGGTGAGGTGGAGAAATGAAAGGAAGTGCTTTTGCCAAAAAAAATAAGAGAAAATCCACGGAGTGGCACAGCGTTGCTGAAGCCGTCAATGTTGTGAATTCTTCAGAGAGATCTGTAGCGGATATAAAAAAATGGTCCAATCAGGATTTGATCCCCAGAGTTCCGGGTGAAAGTCACACGCGCTAACCAGTCAGCCAAATGGAGATCTCCCTTGTACAAGTAGCCAGGACGCATGATCAATCAGGTCACAGTGACAGGACACACACTGTCACAGACGCATGACATTCTGTCTCAATCTGTTCCCCTGCTGATATTCGGCATTCCGTATTCTGCACTTCAGGCTGTGTGTGTGTGTGTGTGTGTTTGTGCGTGTGGGGGGTCTTGTTCTGTGTGAAAACAAAGCAGTACAAGTGATAATGCTGCATGGTGGTGCAGTTGTTAGCACTGTTGCCTCGCAGCACGAAGGTTGCAGGTTCGAAACTCAGCTGTGGCCTTTCTGCGTGGAGTTGCGTGTTCTCCCCATGCATGCGTGGGCTTCCTCCGGGTACTCCAGTTTCCCCCACAGATCACAACATGCCCTATAGGTTATAAATTGTAAGTCGCTTTGGATAAAAGCGTCTGCCAAAAATATAAACATAAACATAATGCTGCAGAATTTCACAATTTTATCCTTCTCAGCAGCAGCACTGCAGGTGCTCTCGATGTCCAAAATGTGCGTAAGCCAGGTCCTTAGTCAACTTAAAGTTGCGCACATTTTTCTGCTAAGTTCTTTCATAAATCCCAAAGTTTGCGTGGAAAGTTGCTTACGCAGTTTTCCAACCCCATTTTGCGCGTAAGCAAGCTATAAATGAGGCCCCAGGACAGGTTTACATCGAACTTATCTTTTTTCTTTCTTTCTTTTGGAATTTTTTTGAAAATTCCTTAAATCCCAGGTGGAGACATGTTCAGATGGGGTAACCAATTCTATTTACCTTCCTTTGATTGTTTAGCGGCTATCAGACATAGTTCACCAGCTCTGACTTGAAGTGAAAAGTTGTGCAATAAAAACATCGTACACTGTAAGGACCGTTTCCAAATCCAGACTTTCTGTTCTGTTTAGTTTATTTTTAACATAATTCTGTTTGCTATAAGTTCATGATTTGAAGCACATGTTTATCATTTCTGTTTATTTATTTGTGTTTGTAAAGCACTTGGTGACAGCCATGTTTGATAAACTGCTTGAAATAAACTTGTCTTAAATTTGCTCTGCTTGTATCTGGAGAAGAGCCAGTTGATTTTCTAAAGATGCGGAAAGTATTTCCTCTTTTATTAATGCCTTGGCTATGAATACAAAATGCAGTTAATTGATAGTTTTAATTATTAGGGGGGGGGGGGGGGGTGTTATCCAAACCAACCTGCTGCCACGTGGAAAAGTAACTTCTTGGTACATAATGAATTATCTGTAATTAACCAGATTATTTGGAAACCTGAATTTGAAGAGACTTGTCTGATAACTATCAGGCCTACACCACTACAACCTGTCTGACAACATAATGGATATGGAAGACTTAAAATGCCACAAATTGAGCACTTGAATTTTCTATTTGAGAGCAGATTTCATATCAAGGGACAAGCTTTTTTAATTTGAGAATAAGATTTTATATTATTGCTCTCAAAACTTGTAATGTTTGCACTCAAAATGTCTGCTCCCTTTCAAATCTTTGATACTGCGCTCAGATTTTAACCTTCTTACACTGGTATTGTCTTCTCACGTGACGGCTTTTTCTCTGCATGGATCAAAACTGCTCCCACAAGTCTGTCCCTGGCTGCTCTCACGGCTTTTTTTTCTGCTCTCTCTCAAAATTTGGAAATAGAATCTCCTAGCAACCGCTCAGCCAACAGACAGACAATGTAGAACTGGGCGGGAACAAACCTCTTTGGGGTACGCTCGTTTTCACTATCTGTGGATTTCCCTGTGTGGCTGCCGCATCTGCGGACTTAGTGATGGGAATTCTGGCTCTTTTTAGAGAGCCGGTTCTTTTGGCTCAGTTCACCAAAAAGAGCCGGCTCTTTCGGCTCCCAAGTGGCTCCTCAGAATTTATGTTGCGTAGAGTACATTTATCACCAAAAATAATGCTAAACTATATGTAATATTATTTACTAATGTAAAAATATGCAATTTATTAAATATTTATCATTTATATGGATTTATTAACACTTTAAGAAATCTACTTTCCGACTGCTGGCGCTCATTTTCTCACCGTCTTCATCGCACTCTCCTCCCTCTCACTCGCCTTTTTCCTCCTCATTCCCTCTCGTCTCCCTCCTCCTGCATTTGCTCTGCTGTGTGTCTGAGTCTTATCCTCCTCCTTCTTCCCCGCCCCTACTGCTCTGTGTGTGGACAGTCTGGACACACAGTTACACATGTCGACCTGTGGCTTTCACCAAAACAAGAGTGTGTGTGTGTGTGTGTGTGTGTGTGTGTGTGTGTGTGTGTGTGTGTGTGTGTGTGTGCGTGCGAGCATGCGGGGTGTCTCACCTTTTTCACCCTTGACCCTTGACTTTTTCACCCTTTCATGTCTGATTTTTAATGAATTATGAAAACGTTTAAAAAGTTTATTTAAAGGTTTTGGTGGAATGTCTCTCCCTCAGCCCAGCAGGATGTGGATTTATTTGAATTTATCTGAAAGGGGATGGAAGACGCATGAAGACTTCTAAACCTCATAGCTGGTCTAGGGAAGAGGAGAGATGTCCAGGGTGCACAATGTCCAAGTGTTCAGGGTTCAGAATGTCCAAAGTTCCAGGTGTTCAAAGAGTCCATAGGTTCAGGGGTTCTGAGGTCTCGGTGTCCAAGGGTCCAGTGGTCCAGGAATGTGATCAGCGGTAGGTCAGGTGAATCCAGAAGAGAGGGACAGTGGAGAGGCGATAGTTGCAGAGCTTTAAGCAGGAGTCTGGAATAAAAAAACACAAATAACAGATTGACCTACCCATGGTGAGGTGAGGACATTCTGAAAGGAGCAGCAGAAGAAAGAAACTCTTCCTGGGATTCTGTCTGGTCCAGCTGCTTTAGATGGCTCGGTCCTGCAGAGGCAGCGGGTTACAGCAGCAGAATGGACGTCCAACGTCTGCATGGAGCTGACTGACGGTCAGGTAGAGTTTGCTGTGCCTTCGTCTTTGAGCTACAAAAACAAAACAACACCACATGAGAAGACGAGGGGGTCATGGGGTTAGAGGTTAATAAAACACTCACTGAAAAGCAGTGATGGGAATAACGCAGTTTAAAATAACGGCGTTACTAACGGCGTTCTTTTTCAGGTAATGGAAAATCTAATTAATTCCTTTTCCCACTGTTGCAACGCCGTTACCGTTACTGGGGACGGAAGGTTGTGCGTTACTATCTGCTTGTAGAAAGTTGAGCAACAGTGTGAGGCTTTCTGACCACCACACTTCAGCTGCAGCCAGGGAGAGAGAGGTGTCAGTAACGCACTTACAAACACGATGATGATTGGCCGGGTGGGCGGAGACCCTCAGTGTTCTCACCATCACTGCATGCTGTAGACCCAACAGAGCAGTGATGGGAATAACGTCGTTTAAAATAACCGCATTAATAAAATAAACATTTCTTTCTGTAACGAGCAAACTAATTAATTACTTCTTCTTTTACCAAAACGTTGTTTCTGTTACTGATAAGGAAAAGCGTGCGTTAAGCAGCGTGGTGTGTTGAAGCTGTCATCAGCTGATCAGGAGCTAAAGAGGTAGATGTTTTCATCCAAGAGCATCACGGCCCGTGAAGAACGAGGAAGACGGAATGAATATCTACGGCTGCAGGTGTGGATCTGCAGTCGTGCCCTTCTTAGCATGACAGCGGGACGTCCCGAAGGTCCGCTCACCTGTTCACCGCTCAGACGTCCTGATCTTCTACCTTCCTAGATCATCCAGCTGTAACCTGTTTCTGATCATGTCTTTAGTCCCGCTGTAACACTGATGCATCAGTCTCAGACGTCATGCAGGTGTTATTAGAACTACCTGTGTGTGTTTACCACCCAGCTTCAGCTCTTCTGTGGTTGGGTCTGACCCACGTTAGTAAATGTAAGTCCTACATCAGGCTTGTGCCTTTAGTGTCATTTTAAAGGATTTTATTTATTTATTTAACCGTTACTAGATTAGCAGCAACAGAAATGCTACTAAAACACACAATTATGTGAAGCTGGAAAAATTAGAATACTGTGCAAAATTACATTTATTTCTGTAATTTAACTAGACTGAGAGACCATTTAAAGGCACGGGAACCTTTACAGGTGTTTCTATTTGCAATTTTAAATTTTAGCTGATTGGGGTCTTGTTAAATATCACACAGTGACCTTTTAATAGTCTAGGTTAGTGTAATGTTCCTGTTAGTAGTTCCTCCTGTTAAGTACTTATTTATTTAAATTATTCAGGTTTATAAAAAAACATTTGGACATATATTTTATTATGTTCCAGTCATTAGTCATTTATATTTCACTATTGTAGTAATTCTTGCATGCTTTAATGAAAAAAGTAACTAAGTAGTTATTTTTCTTGGTAATTAGTTACTTTTACAATCTCGTAACTCAGTAACTGAGTTACTTTGACGAAGTAATTAGTAACTATAACTAATTACTTTTTAAAAGTAACTTTCCCAACACTGCTGAAAAGACAGATTCAACTAGCAGAGAGAACTGGTCGAAGTAGACGTTCTGCTGCTCAGGAGACAGTTCCCTCCACTGTGAACAGAAGACAGTGAGACAAGCTGTTGGTGAGCAATAATCCAAGGAAGCAAAACCATCATCATTCTGTAGCAACCACACTTACCCTCTGGCCCACGACGTTGTTGACAGCAGCGCTGTCTGTCACCTATGACAGACGGTCACTATGGTAAAGCTATGGAATCTTGCGTTACCATAGTTACAGCTCAGGTGCATTGTTTAAAATGCTTTATTATTAAGGCTAGAACCTTTCAGACTCCAGTATAAGTTCCATCTCCAGTGAGTAGGACCTTTTCTCTGCGGTGTTTGCTGACTTTAGTCTTCCAGAGAGCAGCTCTAGCAGGTAATAAAACTACCCAACAAACAACCCAGCCCAACATCTGACATGCTTAGACTTTTAGATGTATCTGAAGTGTTTCCTGTGCTTTACTGGGAGACTTTAACATCCCTCAAGGTAAACTGGTTTTATCATTTATATAAAATACACCTGCTGGAAAAAACAAAATAAACAAAAACCCTTAAGCAGGTCAGATTTCAGATAAACAGTCAAGATAAAACTACTTTGAATCTGAAATATGAGTTATAAACGTACATTTCTATAAACTACACCTACATGCTATCTGCCGTGTACAGTAGTGGTGTCTGGAGAAGGGACTGATCTTTATTTCTGCACCAGTTTGTCAGAAATAAATGCCACTTTTTCATCAGTGAATAAGTTATAACTTTAATAACATTAAGTGAACAAACTATTTTGATTTGTTTACATGTAAAAATGGATCTAGTGTTAACGAGTCCCTGATTAAAAAGAGCAAAGGCTGCTGAATAAACCACATAGAGAAGAATAAAGTGATTTCTCCAGCTGTGCTTTTGTAATCTAGATCTACACGCGATGGCTTCTGGTCGCTGTAGTGATGCTGGCTCTCCGTTGGGATCGGTGGCTGTTTCGTTCACATCTGACGTAAAACTGAGCAGAAGGATGTGAACAGAAATCCTTTTTGTTTCCATCTCCGTTTGATCCTAAAAGTGTGTTTCTGAACGAGCCGGATAAGAAAACGAAGCACAGCCTGATGTAAACAACACAATTAAAAGTTTCTCTTCACAGATCTGAAGCCTGCTGAGACAAAAACATAAAGTATCTCCAGTGAGACTGGGTCAGGTTAAAACATGAAGAATAAACTAAATTCACAACTGAAATCCAAATGTTTCAATTAGTGAAGTAAAAACACAACAATGATCTTCAGAAACTGGTGTTGGAGATGAAATGGTTCACTTTTTTTTTACCATTACTGCGCTGCTCTGGGTGGCCGCATGTTGGAGTAGCTCTGTGGACTACAGAGGCGGTTTTACCATTAGGCATAGGTAGGCGGTCGCCTGGGGCCCCCTTGTGTTGGGGGGCCCCCTAGCCTTGACCGCCGGCACCCCTCTGTTAATGCCACAATATTCTTATTACCAACCTGTGGCCGCAGACGGGATTGGACATGTGCACTTCTCATTACCATAATTCTTGAACCGTTCAAGATATCATTAAAATTCCAAAATTGCTGAAAATATTACAAATGGGGCTTTCCGTGCATATACGATACATTACGGTAGCCAACGGGATTCCATGTCTTCAGCGCAACGAATCACAACACAGATTCAGAGACGTGCTGAGTTTGTCATCCAAAATGCTCCGTTTTATAACTTTTGAACGGCTGATCAGATTCAAATAATTCCAACGGTTCCTAAAAGTACATAAAAGCAGCTTTCCAACGATCTATAGCATGAAGCAATCAGAGTTAGGGAAAATATTGCTACGAGGGGAAATCCTGCTGTACAGCCTGATTGAAACGGAGCGGTGAAAGCAGATAACGGAACAGGGAAGCTAATCAGCATAAAAAGCCGGCATGAAATTATGGAAATGCCTCAAAGAAAATCAACACGATCTATTAGGTGTCCCAGAAGGCTTAAACAAAGTCTTTAGTGAAAATATTTAGTTTATCTAAAAATAAAGAAGTAAATAAATAAAAAATATCCTCGTTAAATAAATAAAGCCTTTACTAAATACATTTGAAGAAAGCCTGTGTGAATGGTAATTGCTGATAATGATCGCTGAAGCTGCTTAGAGAGCAAGTCACCCCCAAATAAACTTTTTTTGCTGATAAACTAAATAAACGAGTGTCTAATCATGCTGCAGACACGTGTTGTCAATAATTTGGCACTTCAGTGCATCTTAGTTAAAATTTAAATATTCTGCCTAAAACTGGCCGTGTTGTGCCGTTGTCAGGTAAAAACTCTGCACTGTATTTTAATTTAAATCTGCCACCGCTCTTTAAAGAGCAAGTCAACCCCTACCAGAGTCTAACTCCACTCCCGCTTCATGTTTGAAAAATGCAACAAATGCTGTTGCCTGGCAGACCGAGAGGGCGGAGCTGCTAACAAATACACACACACACTCAGGCTCACTACAGCATTGTGACATCATAATGTACCAGTTTACATCATAGCATACTTCTTAGCCAATAGTGGTGGCAGATTTAAATTAAAATACAGTGCAGAGTTTTTACCTGACAACGGCACAACACTGCCAGTTTTGGCAGAATATTTAAATTTTAACTACGATGCACTGAAGTGCCAAATTATTGACGACACTTGTCTGCAGCACGATTAGACACTCGTTTATTTAGTTTATCAGCAAAAAAAGTTTATTTGGGGGTGACTTGCTCTTTAAGGAGTGAAGTTAAAGTGTAAAAAAAATCTAAAGAAAAAACAAATAGGAGAGAAAAAAGGTTTGGCTCCGCCTACTCGGCTACTATGGCAACCATGTTGACAGCACTCAAACAATTAACTAGAACATTTCTGTTGAAATGAATGTCAGTTAGGTTTATGTTGTGTTAATAATGTGAGGGAGAGGACGGTCTGGAGCTCCCTACTTGGGATGCTTCCCTCGCGACCCGGACCTGGGTAAGCGGAGGAAGACGACGACGAGCCGAACACTGAATACTGAACACTCTTTTGCAGAAAGAGTGTTCAGTATACCCAGGTGACCTCACTAGAGGGAAACACAACCGATCAAAGGTCACACTAGCACAAAGTGCTTTTCTCAAAATGAGTTGCAGCAAATAAATATTCACACTGTTTGGTTGAGCCTGTGTTGTAACAAGTGAATATCTACAAACTCAGGGTTAACATGTTTAAATTTGCTGTTCTTGTAAATTCTTGTTGTGCAATTGCTAAAAAGAGCACCTTTGTAATTTCCAGTGTGCTTTTTGTTTTTTTATTAAGCACGTAAGTGTTAAACATGTGAAGTGTTTTTTTTTATTCATATATTCTATGTTCTTAGCTGTGTGTGCTATATCTGATTAGTGGTGGTTAAGAGTTTGGACCCTGTGTATTAAATTACACTAGTTTTTCCGTGCTCTATACAAAAGTAGGAAATTACTTCATTAGAAAAAATATATGCATTTTGTTGACTAAAATTGCTTATTTTCATCGACTAAAATTGGACTAAGACTAAAATTAATTTTTAGCCAAAAGACTAAGACTAAAATAAAATTAAATTTTCCTGTCAAAATTAACACTGCGCCGACATCTGCCGCAGCAAACTCTGGCAGCCGGACCCGAGCCGTGGACCCACCCGCCGTCCTCGCAAGCTGAACCCCAGGGCGTTGGACGGTGTTGGAAGCTCTGACCCTGGGGAGGGGGTCACATCGACTGGGCCAGCTAAGTACCTGATTGCTTGACTTTACTTGGGCTGAACAGCTGGTTTTGTCGTAAAGGGACAAGAGGCAGTAGCCGACGCGTTCCACAGTGGAACTCGCCCGT